TCTCTTGATGTCAACCTTAGGCCAGCGAAATGGTTCTGCAAATGCCTAAACAAGTGATAACCAGTAGTCCCAAAGTTGGGTGAAATATGGAGGCTGAAGCAATTTTTCCCACCCAAGCTCCTCTGAGAGATCTTTAGTCAAATATGCTGTGTAAGGCAGGGCATTATCATGATGGAAGATTACTTCCTTTCTGTTGATTAAGAATAGATATTTTCTGTTCAAAGCTGTTCTCAAACAAAAAAGTTGTTGGCAGTAAAGGTCAGCATTGATTTTTAGTTATTGTCTAAGTTCATAATGGATGATTTCTTGAATATCCTACCATACGCTCAACATAATCTTTAGATGAAGTTCACCTCTCAGTTGCTGAGCAGGTCTGTTTTCTCAACTGATCTACTGATGATGGTGCTTAATATTATGGTAACGGATCCATTTCTCATCACCTGTTAAATCTGTTTAAAAAGGGTACTGGAAGTTGAAGTGTAAATAAAGACTTACAATAATCAACATATTGCTGGCAATTCTCTAAAGACAGATCATGCGGGACCCATTTTCCAACCATTGAAACCATTCCAATCTTTTTAATTTGTGTAGGACTCTTGTATGGCAAACATTAAATTTCTCACAGTTTCCTAGCTAGAGTAGCAGGATTTGCTGTAGCAGCAGCAGCAGCAGCAGCTTCCAAGTCTTCTGAATGAAGTTCTTTTGGATGATCTTTCCTTGGCTCATTCTCTAGACTAAAATTCCCAGATTTGAAACAAGAAAACCAGTGCCTACAACTTCTTTCACTCTGTGCATTAATCCCATAACCATTCTGGATGGATTTTGCTGCTGCATTTATGTTGACAGCTTTTATGAAACTCAGACTACAACATTTCTAATGTGTTTTATAATTAAGATGAACACAGGGGCAAAGTTCTGAACTATATTATGAATAAGATTCTTATAATCTGAAAGAAAAAGATATAAATTACTCATGGTAGCATAGTACTTTAATAAATTGTCTTCAAAAATTTAACAGAACTGATATAGAAAATGAGAACAAAAGAAGTTTCTTCAGTAAAAGAAAGAAAACTTATTTTGTCTGATTCCAGCTTCACTGCCAGGAATATTACACTACCCAACACTTTTGTTTCTATGTGTGGGGGGGTCACTTTACTCTTGCATAATCCTGGTATATGTTTAAATCCCATATCCAGATTACATGCTTTACTTTCAGTCAACCATATATGCAACTGATGTTTAATACTTACTATGTTAAATATATTAGTATATAAAAGTATATTGCCACAATTGTCATAAGTTTCTTCTCTCACACTTCTTGCTTGTGGAACTCTCTTCCTGTTTGCCTGTCAACTATGATCTTAAAAATTTAAATGCAATGTCAGTCATCATTCTCTTTGAATCCTTGTTTCTTGTTATTCTCTTTCTCTCTTCTCTGTTTCTTTCACTCTCAATAACCCCTTATGTCTTAGTGACATTACTGCCTTACTCATCAGGAGAAATGATTAAAAAGAAAATAAACCTGTTATTGCTTCACTTTTATTCTTTGGGGTATTTAGAAAAAAAAAAACAATTTTAATATTTTTTTATTTTTAATCTAACCAAGGTTCGCTTTTTTTTTTTTTTTTTTTTTTTTTTTTTTTTAATGAAAAATTTAGAACCACTTCTATGGTATATTTTTGGTTTATATGAAGTACATTTTTGGGTTAATCTTTGCTCTACATTTACTCTCTACTTGTCTTGTTTTATTTACTTAGATTAACTTTGTCTAGGACAAAGCCACAGTTGTGAAGCACAATTACGTCTGCAAAACTTAATTCCTTAATATTAATATTGTAGTTGTGTGGCTTATAAGAAAAAATTTCCTTTTTAATAGAAAGGAATCTAGATTTTTTAAGATTATGAACATACTAACAATTAAGATTTTAACAAAACAACTTAGAACATAAACGGTAGAATTTAATGATTTAATTAATTTGTAAAAATCACATCCAGCAAAGGATAACTCGTGGAAGTCAAAGAAGGAAAGACTTGTTTTAAGAATATTTCTATTGTACAAAATATATTCTCTGTATGCATGGGTTTGTTTTCTTTTAAGAGTACTGAATTGTTATGTTATATCAGTCCTCCCATTTGACAGTGAATGCTGAACAATCTCCCTGCAGATGAAGAGACTTCAAGCAATGGAAATATCATTCTACATAAGGATGCTGAGGATACCATGGAATCAAACATGTGAGCAACAACAAAATTTTAGAGAAAATGAGCACTTATATTTAAGATCAGAAAGAAACAGTTGAAATTTCTAGGGCACATAATGAGGAAAGAGAATGTGGAAAATCTGTTACTCACAAGGACAGATTGCAGGCAAGAGAGACAGGAAAACAATACATCACTGACTTATTGGAGGTTGAGTAAATTTATGGCAGAAAAAGTTTTAGGAGAGATAACAAAAAAGATAAATTTATTAGGAGCTACAAAGGATAGGAAATTGTGGAGAGTCATGATCGCTTAGAGCCTGAAGGGACTTGGCATATAGAATAAAATCTTAGGAAAAAAAAAAAGAAAGAACCAAAATTGATTTGAAATAAATTAAAATCCTTCAATAAATATAGAAATGAAAAAAATAAACATCTTCCTCAAATCTCTTCAAGTATATTTAAGTATCATTCCCCCCCTCTTGTTCTGTTTCTAAACATTTAAATATCTTAAGTTATCTGCAAGATTTTTCCTTTCATTTGTGGACATTATGTAAATGCAAGCACATTACTCTATTGCCTGTAAAAGGTCCTTTGAAACAACAAAAGCAGCTTTGTTCATTGATCCTAGCTAATATCAAGAGGGACTGTGTGGTGACTAAGGGTTTTGTGTATTTCTGACTGACATCATCAGTTAATTCTATTAACCAATAGAAAAGCCACATTCTTTCAACTTAAAAGATCATCACACCATAATCTAATTGATGTTGTGTTTGACTAAAAACTAAGGCAAAAAATAAAAAAAATCTATATTTAGTTCCAGCTTCATTTAAATTTGGATGAGAATTTGGCAGAATACAAAATATACAAGACAATCTGAAAAACTTATCTTGATATGTTTTGCTGATGAAAGAGTTATCAGAAAAATGGATTTTATTTCAACCACGCACTCAATTTAAAAAATACATTTAATGATTAAGTACAATGTTTCTTGAATCTTGCAACCTTTCATTGAAGGTAACATTTTCAGAATTTTAAACCATTGGCAATTTTCACTAAGGAAGATCATGTGTGTAAATGTCTTTTGCTTCAGAAACAGGAAATATCAATGATGATAATTATTTTTCTCTAGAGAATAAATATACTTTTACAAGTATTTTTGTGCAGTCAAATGAATAAATTCAAAACAAATCACATACAGCAGTATGTGTTAATCATCAGTGAAAATATTTATTTTTCCCTGGTGCCCCAATTACATGAATTTAAGCATGCTACTAGATTGGCAACTAGGTCCCACCATTTTACTGCTCTAAGAGATTCTTTTCTTGTGGTACCCACTTGTGGAACTCCTTGTTTCCCTGATAATTATAATCTTAAAAAATTTAAATGCCACATCAATTGCCATCTTCTGACTTCTTGAACCCCGTTTCTTTTTCATCCTTTCCTCAATCTTCTCTATTCTTAGTCTCTTTATTCCCTTTCACTTCCTGTGCTCTGGTGATGTTATCACTTTGCGTGAGATGAAATGATTAAAAAAAAAAATTCAATTTTTTTAATTACTTTATATACTAATGTATCATGCAACCTTTGAAGACCTAATTTTGAAGCAAATTTGACTACAGTAAATGGATATATAATTTGGTCAATGGCCAGGGCCAGCAGTCCGTATGCTAATTTTATATTTCGTGTATGATGTGACCCCTTTAAAATTAGCTTCAAAATTTATTTACATTACACAAATATATCTGGTATATAAGGAATCTTTTCTAAAAAAAAAAAAAAAAACTTTTTCTCCTTATTTCTAAGCCAGATTTCTATGTATGTTTTTTTTTTTTTTCTTTTGCTTTGAAAATGGCTGCAGTATCTTTAATGAAAAATTACATTGATTTCTTCTTTTCTTTCTTCTTTTTTTTCTTCTTGTACATCATGTGGCTCACTGTTTGGAAAAAGAAGTTGCCCATACCAGATTTAGACCCCAAAATATTAGCCACATCCCTTTCATTTTATTTAATTGTACCTCTAGTCCTTGAAAAGAAAATACTTATAACCTATATAAATGTGTTTAATATTCTTTATTTTTTTATTTTTGTAGGTGTGGACTTCTGAAACTGGTTTCCTAATGGTGTAGTTGTAGTGAGAATGTAAGTGACAAGCACTTATAGCTCTGTGCACATTGTAGTGACCACCACCACCACCACCACACCAACCTAGCTGTCCACTACTACTACTACCAGCACCATGGCCTCCCTTCAAGCACTGCGTAAGGATAAGAGTGGATTCTTCATCACTGGAATAATTTTCTTTGTCTATTTTCTAATCATGGATATAATTTTATACATCACCCTACAGAACTCTGTGCTGAATGAAAAGAAATTTGGCAGCTTTTCGCCTTTCCGGCCACTAACTGTCAAACTGCTGATGACTGACCAAGTGGACCATTACATCATCACCCCAATTGCAGAGTATTTTGATGAGATTACTCAATTTAGCCATGTCTTCTATTTTATTACTCCTAACATGATTAGTATCTCACATGTTGTCATTGCTATGATTGCTGCCAAGCTTATAGCCTCAGAGATGCTCTACAATAGACGCATGGGTGTCCTCATCTTTCAATTTCGGTGCTTCCTTGATGCCTTTGATGGGGTTGTGTACCGTGCACACATTGGAGCTGGGCACATTTACAAGTCCCACCGGACGTCAAATGGCTACCTTGTGGATTCTGTCTGCGATTTAAGTGGGGGTACTGCTCTGTGCATCAGCATAGCTTTCTATGTGTGCAGGTATCCACCTTTAAAACAGATGCAGGATGTGCTGCCGTGCACGAAACCTGTTGAAAACGGGGTGGGAAACAGTAAAAAAACTGGGTACGTAAGTGCCTGGATAGCCTTCTGGAGGACATTCAGCTTAGGAATTTTGCTAGCTCTCTCCTCCTTTTCATGGGACAAAACCGTGGAACGTTTCTCAGCCATTCTTCAAGTGCCTATATCAGATGTTCAAGATAAAGTAAGTAAATGTCTGCCAACAATATTCTGGCATCTGTTTTTAGTCTGATATTCTGAAGCAATTTTTTTTCAGTCTTTAGTTACTATTATTGTTCTCATCTTTTGGAAGATTTTCAGCTTGGTTCCATAATAATTCTAAGAATTGTTTATGAGTTTCTATTACCATGACTAATGCTGACCTCCAGGTGAGTGACATTTTCTGCTGACATGAAGTGGAAAGATTATATCTAATCAATTACTGGGTCTGCTGCTAGAAAAGTTGCTTTTCTTTGTCATACTTTGTCATATGTCATAATTTTACTTACCTGAATCTATCTTACATATTTACAATTTGTCCATGCTTAGAATGTTGCTGCTACATATGGTCTGGTATGCCTGCTCTATATTTAGGGATCCTTGATAAAACTGGGCATTTTGGCTTTGGTGACTTTCCTATTGCTGTAACTTAAATTCCCTCCTTTTCTATCAATACTTTCATGGTAGTTGTTCTGATGAACTTTCCTCTATGGTACCTAAACTTTATGGATTTAAGTGCAGTACTACATTGGCAGCAAGGTCTCATCATTTTGCAGTTGAACTGGCTGCTGCTAGTGTGTAACTAGGTTCTATGCTTACAGTTTTTCTCGCTTTTCCTGCTTCTTTTTTTTCTAGTCAAGTTTGATCTTCAAATGTTTTAATGCCATATTGTTATCTTTTGTTTTCTTGATTCCTGTTCTTTTATTCTTGTTACTGCTTAATAATGTTTTTCTTTTATTCTTTCACACTCAATAACCTCCTGCATGTTAGTGGTTTTGTTGCCTTGTGAGAAGTGTGAGGAAAAAAAATAAACTCTTAGTATAAAATTTACAGGTACTTTTAGCAATTTCAACATTAAAATGATGAGACCTAGCTACCAATCAAGTACTACACTTAAAATTCGTGAAATCATGCTACCGTAGGGGAAAGCTTATCAGAACAATTACCATGAAAATATTTATAGAAAAGGCACAGACGTTATAGCAGGGAAAATAATCTGAAGTTGAGATGCCATATCAGAATGTGTTTGATTTTTATATATATATATATATATATATATATATATATATATATATATATATATATATAAGAGAAAAACTGACAAATTGTATGGAATGAAAAACCTAAACAAAAATTTCCTCTTTCAGATGTGGATTAAATAGCAGGGTAGACTAAGCTCTCTAGCCTTGGGTAGCAACCAGTATCAGAAAAGGCAAAATCTGAATTCCAAACTGTGGAGAAGATGACAGGAAACTACTCCACTATCTTTCCCAACAATGCATAGTAATTCATAGATAATTTTAATAAAGAACAAGAGTCAGGATTGCCCGTATCATGAAGGGACATGGCATTCAAAAAGAAAAAAAAAAATCCCTTTTATGATGTTGGTGACTAACAGGTTTTCTTTAACATCTTAAAAACATGATATTTTTTAGGGGTTGGGGAAAATAGTGGAATGGTTTCATATTTACAATCAAGGCTTGATAGCCCAATCTGCTGTACTATTTTACCCATAGGTGAAATGAGAAAATAGATTGAATTCTGTCTTTCCCAAGAGTTTTAGTCCAAAGTGAATACAAACTGCCACAACTGGAACTTGACCTCTGCTTGTTAATTCCATTTTCTTTACTGCTAACTTTACTCCACCTGCACCCCTGAAATTAATGAAGTTTCATGAATACTTAATAAAAGGTGTAGTTGGAATAAGGTTGTCCCAGGTGGATTTTTCTTCATAAAAGAAGAAATAATCATGATTCGTTTGTTTGGAACTCAGAGGTCCCTAATTAACATTTATTAATGAAATACATAAAAAAAAAAAAAAGTATGACTTTTTTTAAATGTAAAGAATGTGTTCCATTTTAGAAGTTGTGTTGTATTAAAAGAGGTCAGATTAAGCAAAAGATGGAAAAAAAAAAGAAGAAAAATGTCTTTCTAAGTTATGTCTGTATGAACTTGTTTTTCTAAAGATTGTTTACTTGATTTGCACAATTCCCTCATTGTTAATGAGATAACTGCCAGTATTATTATTATTTTTTTTTTTTTTTAAACTTTTCAGATGTTTAAACTTTTACATATGAGTGATTATTAAAAAAAAATCAACTAATTGTTGGGTTTTAATTTATGTATTTATTTATCTTTTCAAATTACTATTATTAGCTACTAGGGCACTATGTTGCTATGGTAACAGAGCTAAAGTATGCAGAGTGACGATGCTTAGCATAGATTGACTTTGAACTCTGTCACACATGCACACTATTCTAACTCACTAATTTCTGTTGTGTATAGCTATGCTTGGAAGGGAAGTGTGTAGAGTGTGATCATTTCAGCACAGCACACAGGTTTCATCAGTGACCATGGCTGAGAAAATTGAACAGAGAATTTGCATTAAATTTTGATGGGTGATATCTGCACTGAGACCTGCATTGCACAAGGTGTACAGAGAGGAGTGTATTAACCAGACACAAGTGTACAAGTGGTTCAAACATTTCCAAAATTTTGACAATGACACATGTTCTCGGAGACCCACAACCTGCAGAACTGATGAAAGCATCACAGATGTGCATGCAGCTGTTTGGAAAAGGCTGTTGAATTACTGTGCAGGAGTTGTTAGAGAATGTGAACATTTATGGTTCAGTTCATTTCATTCTTACTGAATATTTGTGCTAAAACTGCTTTCAGTTGGCCAAAAGAAAATCTGGTTTCAGCTGTGCAGGATCTTGATTATGTTGAGGAAGGCAAAAGATTTTTGAAAACAGTCATAACAGGTGATGAATTGTGAGTCTATGGCTATGATTCCAAAACCAAGGCTCAGTCTTCACAGTGGAAGACCTCAACCCCTCCAAGACCAAAGAAAGAATGAAAGAGTTGAAGCAATGTGAAGACACTTTTGACAGTTTTCTTCAATTACTTAGGCATTTTCATCATAAGTATGTTCCACCTGATCAAACAGTAAACAAGTAAACTACTGTAATGTATTTGCAGGGTTTACAGGATTCAGTTCTTTGGAAAAGGACAGAATTGCATACATCCGGTGGTTGGTAACTCTACCATGACAATGCATCTGCCCAATTAGCATAGTTTGTGTAGCAGTTTTGGGTCAAGTACAACATTCCTCAGGTCTGACAGCGACCATATTCCCAAGATCTTGCACCTTGTGACTTTTCCCTCTTTCTAGAAATCCCACTTGAAAGGAACAAGGTTTCAAGACATCAAAGGAAAATCAAGATAATGTGATGAGGCAGCTGCTAGCTATACCCCCAGAAAGGAATTTCAGGAATATTTCATCAATGGAAATGATGTTGGATAAATTGTTTGCCTTCAGAAGGAGGACTACTCCAAAGGAGATTAAATGCCAAATTGATATGTGTTTTAGTTTTTCTTTTTATAGCAACAGTTCTGAAAATTTATTTTATCAGACCTCATATAGGAAGTATTTGTAGTTTTTTAAAAAATGTACACATAACTATAATTGCACAAGTTTAATGTCACTTTTCAAACCAAACTATGTATAATGCTACTTGAAGAAAATGAAATTTGATTTCAAATTTGAATTTTTTCTGCTTAAGTAAAATGTATTCCAACATTGCTTTTTTTTTTTTTTTCTTTTATAAATTTATTTCCTAAAAAAACTCTTTAAAAGTAGGTGGATAAATATTTAAATATATTTTAAAGAAAAACACTTATATTCTAATATGATGGTAAAATTACAATACCAATTAGTCTGTTTTGTTTTTTGGGCTAGTTGGTACAGAGGGTCAAAGTTCAAAAAAGAAAAAATGTGAGCAAGTAAAGCAGTTGCAATTGGTTCATTTACTTATTTTTTACAGCTTATCATACCTTTGAAGGTTATTTGAAGCCAAAACATATTTTGGACTGTAAAAGATGGCTTACAATACCTGGTGTTCCCGTGTGTTCCTGATCTATGTACTGACTCGACTTGACATTCTTAATTTTGATGAACAAACGAGTTGTGAATGCCAACATCTCAAACATGCAGAACGAAATGTTTTAGTAAGCCATTTGGTAGCTCTACTAAATGAATGTCCCGGGGGGGGAGGGATTAAAAGTGTGTGGTATGATCAAAATGGGATTAAAATAAAATTTGATGTTTGTTCCTTTAGTTAGGAACTTTTCAGCACATCACCCTCTTTGTACAACAAGTTTCCAAAAAATTCTGTTTATAAAACAGGTTTGTTGTCATTGTCATTATCTTCTATGTGCTGGGTCACTTCAGGACATGTGTGATTATGGCTCTCCACAACTTCCCTGTCTTTTGTAGCTCTTAGTACTGTTCATCTTTTTGCTATCTCTCCCAATCTCTGTTCTGTCATCCATTTCCACAAGCTTATTAGATTAGCTGCTCTTCTGTTCCTCTTCCTTCAGTATGTCATATGAGTGTCAAATTCTCTAAACCCTCTTTCCTCATTATGTGTCAGAAATTTAAACTGTCTTTTTTTGATTCTATGTGTAAATGTCCTTTTTGTTTTCATTTTCCTTAAAACTTCCTTATTAAAAAAATGTAGAAACTGCTTAAAAAATCATGTACATTTATTTGTTAAATGTTTAAAGTATTTTTTCTATTCATTTTCAATAAATTTTTTTTTTTTAATTGATTCATCAATTCCTCTTGTGTTTGTGCATTTTAAAATTTTTTATTCATTTAAGTCAATAAGGGCTTAACTCTTTTGCAATATATTTTGTTCAACAAAGGTTCATTTTGGTCTAATTTTCATATTTGATTGTACCTATTGAATTCTTCACCCAAATATCATCACTTTTGATTGGTGGGCTCTCTGGCCTTCCTCAGATTGGCTCATCAGTATTTCCTCTCTTTAATCTACTTCCCCCATAGATCAAGTGACAAAGATTCATCAGGTATTGTCAGTTTTTCTTTGTATAGATAATGTATACTAATCTCTGGTGTGCATATTAGATTTGTCCAGAGACCTACTCACACATGCTGTGATTACTAGTCTGAACAGCTCT